CCATACTCTGCTTTCTTTTTTCCATACTTTTCCAGACCTGGAAATCACTTAAATCAAATTCCATACTTTTCCAAACCCCGTAAGAACCCTGCTCAAAACTTCTGAACAGTAGTTTATGTTGTATATATTATGTAATTTATTGACCAAAAAATTGTTAATTCATTTGGTTAATTTAAATTACAGTATAGTTCAGTAACTTCCTGAGTAAGCACCTCATCATCCTTACTGTTTCCCATCGGGGAATGTGGTGCTTTCTTGCACTCCTCATCCACCGGTTCAACCTTGATCTTCAAAGGCATTATGACAGAGGGCTGGGCTGCTTTAACTCTTTTGTCAACAGCCTGGATAGAAGACAGAGATATTATTAAGTGTATTGCTCTATGCGTTAGCAAACGAACTCAAACTTGTTTGCCTTTAGTGGTGAACATAAAACGGTGCTGTGCTCACCATTACAGCAGACGATTCCATAGTCCTGCTTTTTATGTCTTTGGCTCTCTCTGTTTCTGTACAACAAAAATAAACATTATCACACTTATTGTGACTTTACTAATATTGTTCAATGTATATATATATAATGAGCAGAATTTTGAATCAACTACCAGCACAGTCCAGGCTAAACAGCAAAATTGTGACCACTTTGATTAGGACAAAGTGTTAAGTACACCGTTTTACTAAGAACATCAGTTCAATTACCTGAATCTTCTGGTTCATCCACTTCAGTCATCCCATTGTAATCCTCATTCTGGTCCAGTGCCATTTCATTAGTGTCCTCAACTTTAGTGATCACAAGCTCTTCTGAACACTGGGCCATGTCCTCCCCCTGGTACATGTCCAGATATCCTTTGGAATCCTCACTGGCCATAAAGACACCTGCTGCAGACATAGAGCCCAGCCCAGAGTTCTCATCTGAAAGTGGGAAATGATGACATTTATCCATTTCAAATATGAAATTTAGGTTACCAGACAGAAAAATAAGTTATATTCTAAAAATAATTTCTAAATGAGAACTCGTAATATTTCAACATAAAATACATAATTTACATAAGAACAGTCTAAACTCAAATGAAATGGAAGACAGGCAGTTACTTTGTCTACTTCACAATCAGGATGCTGGATGGCAGCTAAATTTGGAGGCTAAACTCACAGGAACAAAACTAAAATCCTTCTTGCCTTCTGAATAAGCAACAGAATCCATGTTGGCGTTTACATCATAACATTCTTCCATTTGTAGCACAGCCTCAGCAGGATCATTCTGTCAGAAAAGAGTTAGTGGAGCAACATGACAGCTATGAATTAAAAGTAAAACAGCACAACCTGTTCTTTTTCAAACTGCGTGACAAAATATTTGAGGACTTGCCATTTGGTAGTGCCATGTGGGTGGAAGAGCATAGTAGGACCCAAAAGTAGATAGAGATGTAGATGGTTCTGTAGCTGGATTTGTAACATTCAAAATGAGTTGACCATGTTGTTCAGGGCAGGTTCTGGGGTTCTTTTGCTTTCCTGAAGTTGACTCAAAATCATCTGCATAATACACCTCATCATCTTCCTCTAGATCCCAACTGTTGTCTGCTGACAGGTCGTCTGGTTCAATCACAGTCTCCTAAAACAGCAGCAGACGGTGTTAAAGGAATCGTTCACCAAATAATGAAAACTTGCTGAATGTGTTTGTTTCATCATCAGAACAGATTACGAGAAATTTAGCATTACATTGTTTGCTTACCAGTGGATCCTCTGCCATGAATGGGCGCCTTCAAGAGTGAGAGCTCGAACAGCTTACAAAAACATCACAATCAATCATTTTGTGAAGTGAAAAGCTGTGTTTGTGTAATAAATTCAACATTAGGATTAAGATTAATCTTTTTTTTTTTTTTTTATCTTCAACCATTGCTTTCAGCTATAACACAATAATA